ATTTATTAATTTATATAGTGATAGTGATAATATTATTATTATTTGTACATTTATAATTTTCTTTTTATAATTAAATAATAGAAGCAACAAATTGGAATATTTCATAAATTTCGACAAACACCTCAAGCAATAATTGGTCGTAAAGATGGAGCATGTAGTCGGGTCATAAACCAATCAAATGGTACAATCACGACATCCTTTACGGTACCCTCGGAATTAATATTAACAGAGGTAACACGCTTTTATTTAATATTGACATAGCGCGATAATGAATTTTCGTAATAAGATAATTTATATACGTATTTTTTACATGATAAAAGATATATATCACATGTGTTTTTGCAACCGAAAAACGAGCCATTTTTTATCCAATTAATGGTACATTCCATCATCTTCGATTATTCATTTCGAGAAGATTCCCGAATAAAAGATGGAAAAAAACATGGTTTAGAAATAGCCGTGGATGTTGGGATAAATTGAGAAATGAAAATGATTGGAATCAGGCAAAATCCGAAAGTCAATGTGGGAAAATGGAAAGGGTGATTATATACTTTAAATAAATAATTAAGGTTTTTTTTGCAGAATGTTTACGTAATAAATTTTATGCAAAAATGGATGGTTAGATATGGTTAGTTAGATAATATAGATAATAATATAGATAATAATATAGATAATAATATAAATAATATAGTTGGTTAGATAATAGATCATATGGTTTGTCGGATAATATAGCTGGTTAGTATAACGAGGATTTGCTTGTTCTTGTACATATCGACATTAGCATTTTTTTTACAATCAACTTTGGCTATCAATTACAATAATAATCAATGATCTCATTCATAATACTGATACTCATTTGGTATGTTTATTCATGTTTTATAATGATATATAATGAATGATACAAAGTAATATTGATGCAAAGTAATGAGATAATCTATGCTAAATTTCTCAAGTTAAATATGTACTTCTACTGTATCGTTAGCAGCATTGCATACATGCTGATAATTTAATAAAAATACACACCAAAAGCCATAATCGAGCATATGATTGAATCCTACAAGTTTTTTTTTTTATTTTTATTGAATGTCATTCCAAAAGAAAAATTTACAAGTATAATACACAGGAAAGGAAAAATACATACATTTTGAAAAGTCACATATGCAACATTATCGGTATCCATATCCCAAGAACAAGCTAACTGAATCCTATTGGTGAAAAAAAAAAGATACAAGAAAAAAAAACAATGTATAACGAACATAATTTTTAAAATGAAAATTATTTAACACGATGATATGCCTTATCAAAACTAAAGATGGTGAAATTAAACTAGTTCATCACTATTGGGTGAAACTGGTGTTGAATTTGTGAAATTAGTTTCACCAGCATCTCTAATCAAACCCTTTCAAATCATGACACTTTAATTCAGAAATTTTTAAAGTGGCATGTAGTCCGGCTACATGCTATACGCATACAAGCATACAAGCACGTGATTTTATTACTTTTAATCACACCATCGAAACAATTCAACTACCAACAAAATATCATTTCGTATTTTATTTGAATTAGCTAACCTAGCTCCAGCCGCTTTATTTTCCATAATCGTTACGTTAACGATATATTTGTATTGTTTTAGCCCTAAATCTAAATAAATAAATAAATAAATAAATAAAATATTTTATTTAGATCAAATACATAAAAGTAACTTGATGATATTTAATAATTGATAGGTTACCTAACAATTTTTGTTTAATTTCTCTGGAAATTTCGTGAGCCCAACCTGGAGCTTGATCTTTGTCATATAACGCGTTATTTAATCGTTGATAAGCAATTGTGTGAATCATGTTTTTTACAGGTGGTGCTCTAAATCTGTTTATTATAAACCAATTTATTATAAACCAATTTTTGTTTAATTTTCAGTCAGCATAAAGGTACATAAAGGTACATAAAGGTACATAAAGATATTGGAAACAATAATAATTTAAAATTATCTTTTACTTTTTTTTTAATATAACTTACTTTTGTTTAAAACTTGGTCTTAACGAGAAATTTGAATCGACGGAATCACGTCTTTCATAAGCAGCACCAAATTGCAAAGAACTATCAAGTAATATATCTGTTCCTGTTCCATTTTGAGGTTGTGCGGTAAAACCATTATTAGTTGAAAAACTTAATAGACTATCTGTCGATGTCATGGATGTTGTCACAGTTGATAGATTGACGGAAGTACTTTCGGTTTCCATTGCTTAACACAAATATTTTAATTGAAATTTTTGAAGTTTTTAATGATCGGTAGGTGCCGATGAAATTTTGACATCAGTATTTATATAATAATTAAAAGTCATAATACCAATACCAATATAGTATGTTAATCAATTAGATATATCTAGATGTACAAAAAGCATTTAAACAATTAAGTACATATAAAACAATGGTTTTTCATAGCTTGAACTTGTGAAATCACATTAAAGATACGTATTTAGTCTTGGATGGATTTTCAATGCATAGTGTATGCATTCTACATGTAATATAACATGTAATATAGGAGATATAGTACCTATTTAATGTTTTACCGTCGTGTTGGCCGTTTCAGTCTTTTTTAAAAAAATATATATATATATTTTTTTTTTTGACGCTTCGCGTAGATTCTACAAAAAGAATTTTATATGTACGTACATTCTGCATTGTATTACAAGTGGCTTCGATTTCGCACTTAATATGGATTATTTTTCATATTCTTGTTTCGGATAACCAAATGTGAGGTGTCTTTGTATTCACGCAGGACCCACATAAGAAATACGGAATACAAGGTTTCCTGTTTGACAATGGGCAATTGTATGTATGTGACCATTTTATGCGCATGTACATACGTACGTATGTACGTATGTATGTATGTATGTATTTATCTTTTTTTTTTCTTTGTTATCTTTCTTGGTATTCCATTATTATATCTTTGGTCTTTTAAGCAGATCTTGTCAGTTTAATCATTCAACTTGCGAGTAATTCTGCGTAAGCTTATCTCAGATAAAAGTTTTCGTTCATGAATTAGTATACTGTATGTCAACATGTACAGATTAAAATGTCCAGAATTCTACAGTGCATAACTCACGTTAAAAACATTTGGTAAATAAATACATAATTAGTGTAAGCTGAGAATTCTGGGCACTTATTTTTAACGCTAGCACTGATTTATCAATTAGCTGGTTATTTCTTGAACAAAGCTGCAACTCTATGAACAATATATCAGACATTTGTTCATTATTTGATTTCCAAATTTGGTCGAAAAACATCGTTGTAAATGATGCGAGATATTTCAGTGTAATACTTTCTAGGAGTTATATCATTACGGAGATTACTGTACATATGTACGTTTTTTTAATGATAAGGCGTAGAAATATGACCTTCTCTAAACAGAAATTAAACCAAATGAAGATTCATTCCGGATTTTTAAAAGGATTTTTAAACTCTTGCGTCTAGACTATACATAGTATGCTAATCATTTACTGCGCAAATATGATCTGAATGTGATGTATTCAAATTGTCTACATTACCTGCATTAGGGATGTTAATTATGACCTAGGTGTTATATTCATACGTATATATAAAATGTTACATAGTCGACTTGAGTCAATCAAGAATAACGATAAATATGTACGTATTAGTAAATTAAATTTGCATCTTATGCATAATTTGTGAATTAGCTTACGTATGTATTATATAATTATATATAAATTGACGAATAAACACAATAGGTGCAGTAAACAAAATTGATATTGATGAAAATATTACAGTATATACTAAGAAATTTTATTGTCAGAAGGACATTACATAAGGTATCCAGTTATGAATATTGAATACGTACGTACGTACGTACGTATAAACTTTTGTGTAACAATTATATGCGTCTAATCATTAAAAAAATATATTGCATTTTTAATTAATAATAAATTAAATAAAAATTAAATTTTTTTTTAAAAAAAAAAGTTCTCTTAATTTAAAATAATAGGTTCTTTAAAATAATAGGTTCTGCTGAGCAATCGAGCAAATTTTTTAAATTAGTTAATATGTAAATTACAAAAGAAATACAGTTTGATGTTTAAAAATCTTATATTGTATCTTCATAACCTACATACTAAATTGGGGATAGCCAGGTGCGTTTATAAGTTTTTAATTATTTAATTAAAATTAGGTTAAGGGTTGGTTAGGGATTAAGGTTAGAACAGTGCTTAGAGGCAAAATTGCCTTCCCGACATTCGGGTAAATCAAAATTTATTATTTGATTGGCTGTTGATTACGTGAACACAATCTTTAGACAATCTCCTAAATTAGTTAAAAATTTTTAATATGTAAGGCTATACTAACTTAATAAATTGGTTCTCGGGTCAAACTTTAAAAAAAAATTTTTAAGTACATTTACTATCCGGGTGAGTTTTTCTAAAAAATCTATAAAAAATTTTGTTTTTTATATGAAAATAAAATTAAAAGCCGGGTTGCCGGGTCACTTTTAAAATTTTATGTTATGAGAACCAACTTATTAAGTTTGTATAGCCTACGTAATATTAATTGCGTGA